TCCCCCAAATGATCAGATGGTTCGTCTAGTGCTAAACACTGTTGTGATGGTATGTCTTTTGTTTTGGTGGCTTGCTAGTTTCTACAAAGTCCTAAGCATTGAATCTCTGTGTGCATTCATGGAGTGATATACAATCAAAAAGAACAGACACGTGCTCAATCTTATTAAGTCAATTTGCAACAGTAATGTATGTATATGTGTGTGTGTATATATATATAGTCATCACTAGATGAAAATTTTGTATATATATCTATATATATCTCTATATCTCTATATATATATCTATATATATATATATCACTGTCATCTAGTCTACAATTTTTCTGAAGCTCTCAAACCACCATATTGCACTGTGAATGGAACAGAGAATGCTAATGCAGGTAAGCTTTGTAGAGGGTTCAGTGAGAATTATGATCTGTAAAGGGCCAGACAGTGATTCTCCTGGCTCTCTCAAATGGGTTCGGTTTAATTAATCACTTTTTAGCAGCCTTTAATCTGTTGTTGTTCTTGCAAAAATAATCATTCTAGTCTAGGGTCTCTTAAAGTACTTTTCATGATAACTTTAAATCTTATGCCTTATGATACCGGTTTATAAGATGGGTGAAAGTGCATCTCACCACTCCTGAGATTTTGGCCATGGGCTTCTGCTAATCCTCTTTTCCCACCAAATCTGGCTTGCCTCAGGACTTGTCACAACCAATGGAAACAAGTGGCAATGATAGCAAGGGGCTTCTGTGTCTAGACTGTGGTCAGCTCTCATTATTTTGTAGACATTTTCTTGGAATGTCATCTGGCACTGCTGTACTCTGTGGAGTCCATGCTAACCATGAGAGATGCTCCACACAGAAAGAGACAGGTTGGATTTAAGATCAACGAAGTCCAGTCTGTCTCAAAATGACCCCCTTGTTGAAACAACTGAGTAATCACACTTGAGACTAGTGACCATTAGTAGGGCAGTCTTGTAAACCCATAGAATTAAGAGAAAATAAATCAGTTTTAAGCCACAGAGCACTAAGGTGTTGCTTCAACAGAGATAGTTAAAGGTATTATAGCAGTCTATTTTAGAGCAATTGGGAAAAAATCTGTATAAAGCTATCAATTTTGTTGACTTTGTTGTACATCCTGTGTAGGTTTATTACTCACACATGGCACAGGATTTTCCTGTATAGCCAGGAGAACAGTCACAGTTTCCAGAATCTTTGTTGCAATGACCTCCATTCTCACAAGGTCCACAGGAGAACTGGCATTCTGGTCCCCAGAGGCCATCAGGACAGGCTGGTAAAGCAAAATCAGAAAGACACTCACATTCCCAATAAAGTCCAGGATGGTCCCAGATTTCACTCTTAACTAGGTGAGCTGGCAAAGTGTGTGTGAGTGTGTGTGCATCTGTGTGTCTGTGTGTCTGTGTGCATGTGTTGGAGCGGCAAAGTAAGAACATTCAAGTCATCTCTGAGGATTTACAGCACTTCCAAAAATACTCCCTTAAGAAATCAACATGGTGCTATATCTTGTCACATTGGAAACACAGAGAGTAGTTGGTTTTTTTTTCCCGGAAAATGTGATTTCTCAGACAGTAACAATGGAAACAATTTTGATGTATATCTTTGGAGGCACTTGTACAGAACAAAACATGAAAACGAGAAGTAATTTTAAAGGCAGCTCAGGAGGCTGCCCAGAAATGCTAGCTGAACTTCTCCCTCCCTGTCTCTGTTTCCTTTTCTAAGACAGAGGAATCAAGCTAAAGCCTTGTGAGTGGTGTTCTTTGTGAGAGTGTACAATGTCTAAGGTGGTCAAAGAGAAAGTTGCATTTCCTTTGAACTATTACTAGAAAAGGACAAGGATAGATATTGCAAGCGTACCCAGGGCCCCTTAGAGATCCAGAGTATGGTCCACCATCAAAACACCTGGAATTAGAAACCAGGCAAGAAGTGTCTTTTTAACACAGGAAAAACAGAGAAACTTCCCTAAACCCAGGACAGTTGCAGAAAGTTACAGCAAACCATGTCCTGCTGTGAAGTATCTTTTATACTTGGGAGAATCTTTGAATAACAGAGTGACTACATTTTCTGGCACCTATACCTGACCTGCAACAATTTCCTTTGTGCCAAACTACGATGAGGTCATATTCCATAAAAAATATACAATCACAATGTTAGTTTATTTTTTTTCACTTTAATACTTTTACTGAGTTTTTGTGCATTTCATATAATGCATCTTAATCAAATTTAGACCCCTTCCCTGCCCCAGTGGCCCCCAACCGGATTTCAGGTATTCTGCCATATATGTTAAGTCCTGTCCTGTCAAACATTTTTATCCAGGTGTCCCTTGGTGTGAGTTCATCCCCTAGAGTCTAGTCAGCCTACCTAGAGTCACTCCCTCAAAGAAGATCTACTCTCCGTCACCCCACAGTAATTATTTGATTCTTTGGGTAGGGTTCCTTATAATCATTTTTCCTTGGCTAGGGTTGGGGCCTACTGCCCATTTCCCCCGTTCTGTGCTGGGTTTTCGTCTGAGTCAGCATGGGCCTTGTGTATGCTGTCAGCATTGCTGCAAGTTCACATGAACAAGTTTCCAGCACCCTGACAGTCTCTCTTTCCTTATGTTCATACACTAGCCCTGGCTTTTACACTCTTTCTGCCCCCTCTCTTACAATGTTCTCTTACCCTGGGTTGGTGAAGTTTAATATAGGGCATCCTATCCAGGGATACATACTCTAAAGCCTCTTATTCTCTAAAACTTGGTCAGTTGTGGCCTTTTGGGTACATCACACTCTGTCATATGAGGAAACTTTGCTGTTGAGACTTGAGGGATGTATTAGTTTTCTCTCTACTCCTTGTTCTGTTATGTTCCATGAGTTTTAGGTGTAGAAGTTCCACTGTAAATGTGTCACTTAGGGCTGGGCATCTCTCAGACATATATTCTCTGTGTGACAAGTTGTGGAACTCTATAATAATCTCCATCTGTTGCAAAAAGAAGTATCTTTGATGAGTGGTATATAGCATATTTGTCTGTAAATATAAGGATCCATATTTAGCATACAGTAATAAATTTCATTTGTCTAGAGATATGAGAGAGATAGAGTTTTCTCTGGGATCTATAACCTCTCCAGCCATGTGCATTAACTGTGCTTACAGTACCACATATGAGTTCCCTCCCACTGAGCAGGCCTTAAGTTCAATTAGACAGCTGTTGATTACCCGCCCCCCAGGTAAAAGTGCCACTACTCCACCAACACAGATAGTTTGATGTTCCAGTCATTATGGTTATTAGGCTTTACAGTTGGTTTGGACCATTGGTTGATTTTCTCTTTTAGAAGCTTACACGATATTCTCTGATACTATGAGAGCTGGTCTTCGGGGAGGACCTCCCAGGTCAATTCCAGCTCCATTGCTCTAAGCCTTATGTCTGAAATATGTCCTTTCTTCAGCAACAGGGTCTTACCTTCAAATTCTGGAGAGCAGTCAAGGGCTGTGGCAATAAGCCTGTGTTATTTTTGGAGTCTTTTGGACTACTGTAATCAACAACTCGAAGGGAGGTTTCTCCTGTCTGGTACTGTTCCTTGTTATATAGCCTTCAGGTGTACATATGCACTGATGTTAAGATATTGAATGTTTTTTTTCGGGGGGGGAGTTAATACATTTCCTTCTGGCTTTTTATAACATCTAAGCTGCTCTCCCCATTCTTCGGGCTCGCTCTTTCCCTTTACTGCTGTGTTTACTTTCCTTTTTCTGGCTCCTGCTGTTACACCAGGAGTTATACTCATACGTAAGGGATTGGTGCTAAGATCCACAAATGAAGGAGAACATACACTGCTTGTTTTACTGAGTCTGTTAAAATGAGGCTCAGAGAGGTAAAGTGACTTATTCTATGTCACAAAGCTATAAATAGCAAGGTTGAAATTTTATCCAACATCTCTTAGCTTCTGAAACTGATGTTCCCATCACTACACCTAAATTTATTATCTTAGGCCATTGGGAACCTTTAAAATTACTTATCCCTGCTTTTGGAGAGTCACTGGGTTCATCTGATTTAGGAATATTTAATAAAATTCTTTATTATGAAGGCAAAAAAGTTTTTATAGATTTACTAAGATGGACGTAAGAGGCGCAATGGGTCACAGGGTCCTGTGTATTCAGAAATTTGCCTGAAGCTGGGGTTAAAACACTGCAGGATACAAACTAATCAATAGAAACCAGAGGCACTGGATGCTTTTAAAATTTTTCCTATTTCACAAGTTAGTGGAAGAAAGCAGCTCTTCTGTTCTTAGAAGCCATTTCTGATAAGCTAAATAAGGCTCCGTGTTGATTGTGGAGAGCACTGTTCGTTAGTGCCATTGAAACAGTTTGGAGTCCTTAATTATCTATTCATGTGCAATTCAGACACAGGTCTGGAGTTAAGATTTTTGAGGATGTGTCTGGCTCTGGGAGCACTTGGGCTACTTCAGTGTTTGAAAAAGGAAAAAGAAAAACAACAGGCCTGATTTTCATCTTGCAAACTCTTAAAGAGCTCTTTTTGCCTTGATTTCAACTGCCAATCATGGCCAGCCCATTCACAGGCTCCAGTCTGATTCATGATTTCATTTTGTGGTTAGACAAAAATATCAGAATTGGACAAAATTATCTGATTGAAAAATAATATGTTTTCCAGAGATTATGGTGACCTCTCCATTTTGCTAATTTACATATGCTTCCAACTCATTTTCTTTCACAGTGGGGATCTCAGAAGCATTTTCCAATAAAATATATTCAGCAGCTGCTTTAAGGAAATGCTATCAGAATAAATTAAATTTGCCCAGGTGTGTGTACATGGTATTATATCCTTGTGTGTTGACTGCCAGAACATGGCTTCTCCAGTGGGGAAATGAAGAAAAGGACAACTCTAGGCTTAAATATCAGTTGCAGTATATTGAGAGGGTAGAGTGAGACCCACTTTGTCTCATATTAAGTAAAGTCATTTGATATTGTGCTTCTGTTTTCCCAAGTTCCTTTCCCCATTGCCAGCTACCCAAATAGCCCACTTTCGTCTATGGCCATAGTACAGCCTGAAATGACCACACTTCTCCTTTCATTCAGCTCCAGAAAGGCCATGAAGCATCTCTGAAAATGGCAATGCGAAGATTCAAGGAGCACACAAGAGATCCAAAGACGATTTTCAGTGCTACTGTCTCTGTAAGGAAGAGCTGTGTTTGGCATTAAAGACAAAAAAAAATCTGTGGCAATTTCTTCCTGAATATAGTTAGAACTTAATGAAAAACATATAATAGCATAAGAAAGAGTAAAAGCAATAAAAACAAACCACACACATTTATGTGATTAAAAAAATTATGGAGTGATGTCTAAAACAAAATTTCAGGTAACCCTTCCACATGAACCCTGATTTGAGCAAGAAAGAATGGGCAATAAATATTAGGCTGAACAGTAATTAGTGCCTGTGGTGTGTTAGAAGATAAACATGATAGGGAAAAAAGAGGTTGAGGTTTCAATTTTGAGAAAGGTGAGACTCAAAACATTCAGCAATAAAATGACAGGAGACTGAAGACATTAAGAAGTACTCACTGAGTCCAGAAGCCAGAGACAGCATTACTGAGGAGCTGGAATACCATTTCCCAAATTCTGCATGCAACTTTGCACATATGTGCAAGTGTTACTGTTGGGACCACAGCTTTCTGATTATAAGTTTATCTAAAACTTATGTACCATTTGATAAATGACAATACCGATACCCATATTTAAATTCTCCATGGTTAAGGAATTGTGAGTGAATTTATTTGGATGAATGATTTTAAATACAAAGAGAACCAGTCTTTCATCCTAGAAATGAACAAGAGTTTGGTTGATGACTTCAGCTCAAAGATATGGCTGTGCAGCTTTAATCTTTAATGTTTTAAATAAGGTTTTCTGTCTTGTGATCTTTCTTCTCTTGCTCAGGCTAGTCAGGAGACTGCTAAGAGCAGAAGCTGAGAAGACAAGGTTATATAATCTTATTGCCCTGTGTCTTAGTTTCCTCACCTGCAATAGGAATTCAGAAAGCACATCTACCTCCTCAGAACACAGGTGGACTAACTAATTAATGATTGCACGATGTCAAACAAAAACTGATCATAATTAGTAGAGAAGAGCAAAACCCATCATCAGATCGTACCTTCCTGGCATCTGTTGCCTTGGTAACCAGATTTGCAGGTGCAACTACCATTTTTGGCACTGCATTCCAGGGTGTTCTCTTCCACACACTGACATTCCAAAGAACAGCCAGCTCCATAGGTCCCCTTGGGACAACCTGGAAGCAGATTGAGGCAAACTGGTCACCTGAACACCATGTTTTGTTTATTTGAAATCATGAGTGCATAGGCATGACATTCTGTGGGGCCTGATTCTTAGGAAAATAAGGGAACCATCCTGCCTGCCAAAAAAGAAGTGAGAAAACAAATGTCTTTCAAATCAGGCAATTCATTTGCTTTTTGGCAACTGGACATGAACAGTGAAGCCTGTATTATAAAAGGCTTCTGTGCTTCTGTGAGAGAAATTGCTTCTCAATGTGCTCCGTTGGTTCCTGGACTTAATATTCTCCAAGGACTGTTTTGGCTGCCAGGCCCCTCGTCACCCTGCAGCAGGCTGGAGATGATGGACAAGCAGTTACGTGAAGGCTTGTCATTGTCCTCAGTCCCCCTCGTTAGATGGTAATCAGAAATAATTTTACATCCCACAGATAACATAAAGTTTGCATCATGACAGCAACATTATCTTGACCACTTCTTTGGCAAGTGATGCTTGCCCTGTCTTCATTATGTTCCCCAGTTTTAGAGTTCAGAGACGCAGGATTGAGTTTCAGAGATGGCACAGTCAGGACTGAAATTCTAATTTTAAAACTTCCTGCCCTGTTTAGGACAGTATACCCCATAGTTCACTCATTCTCTGTGTCTCTCTGCCTTTCTGTCTGTCTCTTTCATTCTCTCTGTCTCTGTCTTTCTGATGAGTCACTAGAGAAGTTCAATTTCCTTTCCAAACATATCTCTGACGATTATTTTTCTTTCCCATTATAGATGTTCAAGGGACTCCTCAAATGAAACATCCTTTAAGGTGCCCTCTGGGCACAAAGTAATTGTTTGGTGTGTGTTGACAGGCTTTGTTGTGGAGTGCTGTGTGCTGATAATGCAGGGACTCGTGGGGCTTCCCTGGTGGATGGGAAGCAACATTATAGAGATCATTCAATGTAGTGGTTGTGATAGCTCAAGTAGAATCCTAGTCGTGGTTGCCAGGGACAGTGCAGGATTATGTTTGAAGCAACACAGAGCCATTGGCAGTGCCCTGTGCACTCTAAAAGCTGTCCCAGTTTTGATAAGAAACCACCATCTTTTTCATGACTTTCAAATTTGACAGACTACATCAGAGTCTCCATGCCCCAGGGCATGCCAGACTATTTTCTGCCTTGTTCTAAGGCTTTTCTTGTTCATTCCAGAATGCTTGCTAGGATTCGTTTTCATGCATTACTCTTCCTGGACCTGCCTGTCGAATCGTTGCTCTGGAGACACAAAGGAATGCTTAAATGTGACAGTGATGACCATAATGCAGATCCTGGGACTGGGGACAGTGGAGGGAGGTCAGATGGGAGGAGAAAGAGTAGAGATGAATGAATCTCGGCGGGCTAGGGAGCCCAGAGGGAAATGTGATGCTCCTGAAACCCCATGAGAAATGCACATACAGTGTCTAAACATTAGTGCATATGTATACCTGGGAACTACTTCGCAAGGAACACAGTGCCAGACAGAAGAGAGCTCCCTTTGAGTGGTTGGTGAGAATGGGCCAGGAGACTCCCAAAATACAACAGGCTATTGCCAAAGCTCCTGGTTATCTCCCAGAACTAGAAGATAAGACCCTACTGCTGAAGACAGGAAATATTTTGGATACAGCCTTGGAGCAATGGAACAGAAACTGACCTGGAAGCCTTGTATCTGAAGGCCTTGTACAAGGCCTGAAGACTTGTATCTATATTATCATAGTACTAGATGATAATATGCAAATTGCTAAGGGAGAAAAATCAATCAATGGTCTAACCCAGTCCTAAAGCCTAATAACCATAACAACCACCATGGCAGACTACCTTTAATGGTGCAGTAGTTGGCACTGCTATCTGGAGGGGTAATCAACAGCTATCTAGTTGTACTTAAAGCCCCCTGAATGGGAGTGAATTCATGGGTGGCACTGTAAACTCAGCCAAATACACATGTTGAGATTCTAATACCTTAAGACAATGTTATTTGGAGGCAGGACCTTTGGACTATTGTTAGGTCGGGAGGGTAAGGCTCTCATGTTTGAGATTAGTGCCTTCATAAAAGAAGTCTCAGCACTTATTTGCTTGTCCCACCAGAGGAGAACGCAGTGTCAGACACTGTATGAAGCAGAACTGTATGAAAGCTGGCTATCATGTGGCATTATACTCATGGAACTCTGGGGGTTATTCAGATTCTAGAATTAAATTTCTTATTTATATGCCACTTGTTAGACTATATTCTATTGTACTAGGCTAACTAAGACACTGGTGTTCATCAGGAGCCACTTTCAGAGGGGTTAACCCTTCAATAGCCAGAGGAGGGTTGCACACAGCTTCCTGATGGGAGGGTGACCACTCTGATGTGTCACTGAGAGAAGCTGAGAGCTGCTTCTGGGTTTACAGCGTTAGTTATTTTTGGTACTCATGTTTTCTCTATTCTTTTGGAAAATGTGCACAATGGTCGGAATGTAAAACGAAGGGCTGTTCTGAAATTTTAAGGAGCAATATTGTTTTGTGCTCAAACCCAGAGACATGTTCTAGGTCCCTGACACTTAACTCTTATAAATAAAGCTAAGGAAAGTCTTTTTTTAATGTGGAATTTAGTAATTTTTTCATCAAAATTTAGATTCCATAATTTAAAAAGTCAAGGACTTACTGAGATGACAGAATCTTCCATAGCGCCCTGGGTCACACAGGCAGATGCCATATTCCTTGTGACAATGATCATTGTTGGAACAGTAGCACTTCCTCTTGCAGTTCTTCCCAAAGAATCCTTTGGGGCAGCCTGCAGGGTGTGAGGGCAAGCAGAGCAAATATTAGCTCAGGTGCAGAACTCGCTACTACTGCAGCTTTACAAAACAGCAATCTCAAGACTACACCCCAACTGGAAGAGTTATTTGCAGTCGATGGCTGATGAGGGACAGGGAGCCAATTTCCTTAGAGAATCGGCTGATACTAGGTCACGTGTGTCCCAGTGAATGGCCACACATTCATGTGTGTATGGGTAGCACTAAATGGACTCAGGAGATCATTGATAACAATAAATAAAGAAGGATGAAGAGGGCAAAGGAGAGGCATGGTGTTGAGAGACTTTAATTCTAATGGTCTAGGGGAAGATGCAGGTGGATCTCTCTGAGATGGGGGCCAATCTGGTCTGCTTAGTGAGTTCCAGGTCCATTAGGACTACTAGGGAGACCCTGTTTCCAAAAAATTAAAATAGAACATATGAAGCTTTGAAGTTGTAAGAGACAGGGTGGGGAGGCACTAAGAGGAGTTAAAGGGAGATAGTCATAGATGAATATGATCAACATATATTCTATAAATGTGTAATACTCTCCAAGAATAAAAATTATTAAGAAAAAGAAGCTTCCAAAGGCAAGAGTTGGGGAGCTGTGTCAGTTGATGAGGTCATTGTGGTTCAATCATGAGGACTTGAGTTCAGTGACCAGTACCCACATACAATAGCTAGTGGAGCAGAGACAGATCACAGATGGTAACTGGTCAAGCAGCTTAGCCCAACTGTGAGTACCAGGTAAAAGTGAGAGATTCACACATCAGCAACTCTTACCAGAGAAGCTTCTTGTAGAGGCTAGCAATTAATAGAGACCCGAAACTGGCCAATGTGCAAATGAGAGACTTCTGAGTTCTCAGCCCTAAATGGGCCACCTTTACCACATCCTTTCTTCTCAAGGCACAGAGATCATTGTGGAAGATGCAGTGGTAAGATTGAAAGAGCCAGAGTACTGGATGGCTACAAGGAAACAGTGTTTTCCAGGCAGCAGGACTACTAGACATATGAACTCATAACAAATGTGACAGCATGTGTAAGGCTTATACAAGCACAAGCCAGACAAAACCCCAGCAAAGAGAGAAGGCCCAACAGTAGTCAAGAAGATATTGGCAACTGATAACTGCTGGGAGAAAGTTCATTTTCTTAAAGGGTGTGACCCTGGGTAGCTTAGGCTTCAGGGAATGGATTCACACGTAAGAACATTTGGGAACAAATTAGACCTCCTAGGCCTTAAACCAATAATAGTAATAGAGACCATGTAGATGGGTGGGGTAGGAGGTAGGATGGAGATGGCAAGGACGTGTGAATATGATCAAAATACACTGTATAAAATTTTAACATATATATTCTTATATACATTCTATATATATTTCTATATCTATCTATCATCTATCTATTTATCTACCTGTCTATCTATCTATCTATCATCTATCTATCTATCTATCTATCTATCTATCTATCTATCTATCTATCTGTCATCTATCTATCTATCTTATTAATCAGCTTATTTTGAAGTAACAACAGCTGGATCTCACCTGAGAGGCTGACAACCTGGTGTTTGCTCTTCTTTGAGGCTGGATCATCATCATCTCTCATCTATCTGTATATCTATCATCTATCTCTCTATATCTATCTATCTATCATCTATCTATCTATCAATCATCTATCAATCTATCCTATCTATCTATCTATCTATCTATCTATCTATCATCTATCTATCTATC